TTTATAATTCATTCTCTTTACTTAAGTTTAATCGCCCCTCTCCCAACATCATATGCTTATAGTGATTCTCAGTGAAATCCACTATTCAGAATCGCTGTAACAATAACTATAATGAAATTGGACATCTATCAAAAAATTGCAACAAGCCTTATAATATCAGCTCTTATTAACAGAATATTACTAGAAATCAATTAAATTAGAATAATTAAAATACTTGACCAAACAATAATAACAATATCTTATCAAGAAATAACTTTTTTTCTTCTAGATTAGTATCAACAAATATTAATAATACCAACCGAATCAATTTCCTATCTCAAATTCACTATTATTAGCAGCACTACAAGCATTAACTCCTGATTAACAAACTAAAGTAACCAACTCTACCAATTCAACATTACTTGCCATCCACAATTACTTAGTTGGTGATAGAAAAAGAACCAAACTAGATAAATTAGAAGCTACTGTTGATAAAGATACAATCATAGCTAATTTTGTCTATAATTCAAACATTATACGATTCTTTGACTTTCAAGTTCTCTCTTCAAGGTTAAATACCAATTTTAAAAATAGTCTGTTATTTTTTTTAATAAATAACTAAGCATAATTTTATTAGATAATTGTGTATTATAAATAATTTTATTATAATCTGAAAGTAAATTTAATGAAGAAGACATTACAAATCTTGTAATTCTAAATTATCTTTACTATAATTCATGATCCTTAATAACTAAATGTATTTTAAGACAAAGGTCTCATTATAACACATGTATTAATTTTAAATGATTTAATATCAAACTTCGTTTCTACCTTCCATCGAGTACTCCATTTTCACCTCCTTTACTTTCTTCGGATAATAATCCTCCAAGTACACCACCTAATGATGCGACTATTCCTCCATCTGAATCACCTTTTCCGGTTATTTCTACAAATAAATTACCTAATGGTCCAAGTGGACTACCTCCTTCTGGAGTAGGAGGGGAATCTCTTTTGGAGTTGGTAATAGGTAATCCAAAGACCGTGGATAAACAAATTACAATAAGAACTATGAGAAAGTGATTGCATTGGAAATTCATTTTTATGTTTTTTGTATATCGAATTTTTTTTTGAAAAGTAGCTAATGGAGTTTATTTATAAGAATTTTTTCTATCATGATTTGTTTCACGTATTAAATTTTATTATGATGCATTATTACCATTACAAAGGCATTTTGAATGATGAGGTTTAAATTTTCTACAAAATGAGTACGTTAGTCAGTGCTCTACAGTACAATTTTAATATATGCATCATTAAAGGAAGGAGTTAAAAATTCCATATTTTACATGTACATGCATAAATATTACGTAGTTCATGTACATCTTTGAGTTATGTGCAGCAGTTACAATATGTGCATCTTTTAGTTGCAGTAATGTCAGCCATATGCATAATTCGATTCTTCCTTATTACATATATTTTACATGCATTAATATTTCTTTATTACATGTAGTACACACATACCACTATGAATACGTGCATCTTTGAGTTACGTATGTGCGCCTTTCAGTGTATATGAACGTACATGTAAGTGCATTTTCAAATCTAATTACATGTACATGTACATGTACGTAATTAGATTCATACTTATCAAATGTATCAACTTGGACTTTTGTAACCGCAACCGCATAAAGAGCTCTAGTTACTGTACATACTAAGATTTTAGGATTACATACATTTGTGAATGTATAATAAACTTTTACAAAGTGCATATGTATATGTGCTGTTCACTAGTAAAGGGGCAACTCGGGTATGATGCAGTAACTATAACAGTAAATCTTATAATTTAAAGTTTTATAACTTCTTAAATTTAATCCGTAAATACATTAAATTTGGTCATATTTGATATTCACTATTACATGTACATGTATAGAATTGCTGCATCATACATGTATCAGATTTGCCCCTTTTCTATTGAACAGCATTCGATATATTGTACATGTACATGTATTAGGAAACTTTATTTGAAAGATGCAGTGAGATGTAAATATTTGTGTATTCGTTTTTGTTCCGTCAAGTGTATATGGTGCATAACATCTAAAATCATCAATGTTTGTATTTTATAAAATGTATAAACTTCTTTACTAAGTAAACGCAAAATTTAATCCATAAATATGCTCAGAAAGGGTTATTCTATCATATTCACGAATTAAATCTTGCATTTACTTCTTGATGAAGAACTTTACACATTTTATAAAATACAAACGCTTGATATTTTAGATGTTATGCACCATATAAATGTGCAAAAAACTACTTTGATCCGAATTTAGTTTATATGCTTGATACAAGACATATGTGCATAAAATCGTTATTTCGTTACGATTAACTGAGCTATCTTTCACGACCATAGATAATGCACCCCCTTAAACACACCAACATTCTCACAATCAAATGGATTTATTAAATTTGTTATTACCAAGATCTTGATTGTTTCTCTTAGTCTTGAAAATATGTCTTAACAAAAAGCGGATGGCAACCAAATTCATTGTTTTGTAGATTTTCGCGTTGGTGTGAGATACGCTTTTGAAAAATGTGCTTTTTCACTTGCATGTTTAGCAAAAAAAGGAATCAAAAAGAACTCGTAATATTTATTTCTATCTGCATGCATGTACACCTATACTAAAAGAAATAAATAGCAGCACATACAGCTGCAAGAAAGTTATTTTCTAATTATACAGATAAATCAGACATTATTTTAATTAATGAACATGTGAAGATAGAGGTTTCTATTAATTAATACGGTTCTTGTATTTTTTCGTTCATGATTGCTGCATCGTCTATTCCTAATAATCCCCCGATGACGATACATCTTTGCAGTAATGCGGATGATCCAGTAGTCTCCTAAATTTAGAATTTAAGCTTGAAAGAAATACATGTTAACATTTGAATTTAATAATCTCACAATTTATAATAAATTAATAAATTTATGATAACTTTTGACCTTTTGAATCTACCGTATTACTGTATACATATAATAAAATATCAAAATAAATATTGTACTGTACGTTAAGGAATGAAATAATTTCATCTTTGTCTTAGCTGCTTAAATAACCAGTTCAAAAAATAATAGCTTGTGACTTGACCTTAACTGGTATTTATCGATCAATAAGGATAATATCATTATGTGAACTATGAATAAAAGATATACGATAGATTTAACTTTAAAAATTCTAAGTTTTTACAAATTTTTACTTTCTAAATTGCAATTTTTAACCAATATGAATAAAATGTATACCAATTTTATCCTTTAAATTATAAGAAATACTGAACAAACATAGAACTTTTAAATTTAATTTCTAAAAGTTAAACAACGAACATAATAAATTATTAAATTCAAAATATAACAAATTTTAGCTTGTAATTTTTACCTTTCTAAAATACAGATAAAACTTAAAATTTTTTGCAATATAAAATTAAATAACTAATACATGACGTATACTCTACGGAAAAACTGTATCAGGAATTTTACGCAACGCGTAAGCAAATTATCATAATTCACACCCCTACAATATATTACCAGAAATTTATGTCAATCATTTAAATGAATCAACTTTTAACTTGTATTTAAAAATTTATTGTACTTATTAAATAAATATAAAACTTAATAAAAAAAAGTATCAAATACATAGTTATATTGGTTTAAATTTGAGAACCTAAAATTAATAAGATGTATTTTTTTCCTTGGCTTCAATAATCTTGTCTACATGTTTAGGTAGACTCAAAATTAACTCACATAAGGTTTCGAGATCGATACTTACCCATTCCTCTTGTAGTATATTAATTAATTCTTGTTTTGATGTAGGTAAAGATTTTCTTTTTAAAATTCAGCAGTTCAAAATATCCCACAGATGTTTGATCAAATTGAGATCAGGACTTTGATTAATTCAATATAAAAGTCAAATACTATGTGTTAACATTCACCAAGTTATATATATCAAAGCATAATATAATGCTTTATCTTGTTGAAAAATAGCATTTTGATAAAATAATTGGCAAGAACATTAATATAGATATCTGAATTTATGATTTCTTCTACTAGTACCAAAGGATTAATATCATTCTAACCAAAACAATTACTGATTCTTCATCAAACTTAATATATTTTTAATTGTAAGCTTTACCAGATTTTTGTCATACTCTTTTCTGGTTATTTGATTTAAAAAGTAGAATTTGAATTTGTTAGATTATATAATTTTTTTCATTGTACTTTCCAGTTATGTTTCTCCTAGTATTAATTTAATTGATAAATTTCTTGATTTGAAGTTAAAAGAGACTTCTTTTTTGAAATATAACTTCCAAATCTAATTTTATTTAATTATTTGTAAAAAGTATTAGTATAATAAGTAATATTGAATTTGTTATTTAATTCATTCATAATTTTATCAAGTAAAGAAAACTGATTTTTTAAAGTAACTTGTTTTAGTATATATATTTTATGACTAATCAAAGTTTTTAATTAACCAGAACATTTTTTAGAATGCAAAAAATTGGTTTCTTTATAATATTTGATGATATTATTAATTATTAAATTAGCTTATAAACTTGAATTTAAATTAAAAGAAAGTGATAAACTGATAAAAATATTAAAAAATGAGATATTTAAGATCTGTATTTATTTAAAAAGAAATAATAATATAAAAGAGTTGTGAAAGAGTAAAGGTCAAAGAGAAAAGAAAATAGTAAAAGAAGTTTGAAAGACTATATCAGAAATTTGAAATACTAGCAGAATTACAGTAAACTTCAAATCTGGTAACAAAAAAAATTCAGTTTAAAAAAATGCAAATATTTTAACATGTAGAAATCAAACTTGAATCTGAATTGAAAGAGAGTAAAAACTAATAAAAATATTAAAAAAAAGAAGGTACATTATTACAAGTTTGTTTACTAATAGTTAAATTAGCTTACAAACAAGAATCTGAGTTGGAAGAAAATATAAACTAATAAAAAAATATTAAGAAAGAAGAAGAGTATTTAAGATCTATGCCAATTTTTATAGAAATTGTATTTACTTGAAAAGAAATAATAATATGGAAGAGTTATAGGAGAGTAAAGGTCAGAGAAAAGAGAGAATAAAAAAAATTTGAAGAAGTAATTCTATACTTGCATAAAGCTTTTTAGAACTAAAATAATATAATTAGTAATAATAATAACAAAGATTCTTTCATTTTGTTCTTCTTATAGATGAGAAATATTTGTTAACAATTAAAAATTCAAAATAACAAAAAGTAAAAATACTTATAAATCTAATTTCAATAATTTTCAATATAGTAATTTGTTTAACACAGTATAATATAAAGCTCAATAATTCAATAATAGTAATTTGTTCAACACAATATGATATAAAGCCCAAAGTCAATAACAGTAATTTGCTTAGTGCAATACAATATAAAGCTATTAGCAATTTGATAGGTTCAATATAATATAAAACCACTTATATACAAGATTTGAAATATATAAAAAAATATGAGAGACAGGAAGTATTTGAAAGAAGATTTTGTTAAGAGAGATTTTTATTTTTAATTACAATATGTTAAGTTAAGACTTAGACAGCATCTCTATTTATATATTTTTCAAAATTACTAAAAGTGAAATAAATAATTATAAAAAAAAATATATAAAAGTGAAATAACTAATTATAAAAGTGAAATAACTTATATAAAAGTAAAAAGTGAAATTTTGAAAAAGTAAAAAATAAAAAGTGAAAAATTAAAAAGTGAAATAACTAAAAGTAAAAATATATATATAAAAATAAAAAGTAAAAAATTGAAAAAGTGAAATAATAAAAGTGAAAAAAATAAAAAGTGAAATAATAAAAGTGAAATAATATATATAAAAATAAAAAATAATTAAAAGTGAAAAATAAAAAGTGAAATTTCTAAAAAGTGAAAAATAAAAAATGAAAAATAAAAAGTTAAATAATAAAAAGTGAAATAATACTAAGGAATTTTGTCTTTATTTGAATATTTTTGGAATTTTTATGTTTTTTGATTATTTTTGAATTTGTGATTTTTATATTATTATTATAA